GATCGGGAAGTCTATGAAGTCTTGAATTTGAGCAAAATGTAGGTCTTTGCGAGTGTAAAATATGTAATGAGGGTCCCATTCTGAAAAGACATTGAAGAGATGCCGTAGAATTTACCTTGAATTGTTTGTACTTTACACCAAGTTCTACAGGCGGTAATCAATAATAGGTTGACCTCGTCTAACTCCGGCCACTAGGAAGATGTTCTAGGCTTATAATAAATGTTTTAGGTAGTACTTTAGAAAGTGTTTTAGGGTAATATATAATGTTTAGATATTCTGTATGTTTTAGGCACGCGATGTCTTTCAGAATCTGTTGTTTTTTTTTCTTCATTTATGTCCCTTTTAAAACATGAAAACATAGGGACCAGTTTGTTTTGGGGTTTTTTCTTACTCTTGACAATTGTGACCGATGGGTGGAGCTTTAGGCAAGCTTAATGTCCTTTGTCAATTTAACAATAAGTATGTAAGACAATGTTTTAGTTTTTTCACTCCATTTCAGACACATTAAAGACGTTGTTTTGCTGACTGCTATCGTGCAGGTCCTGAGCTGCTTTTCGATGTACGTCTGGTACTTCTGGCTGCTGGTAAGACTGACGTGTGGCTTGAAATATAAAGAGCTTTCAGGGTCTGATACATGTATGCTCTATCCATAGCACAGCTAGAGCCCAGACTTCCTTCCCGATTTATTGGGGTTATGTTTAAAACCAGGGGAACCCGCAGTGACATTGCATTGGTGACTCCACCCCTTTTAGAACAGACACGTTTTGTACGTGACCCCCCCAGAATATACCCAATAGTTTATTGAATGAAGTAAAGTGCGACCGATATTGTTAGTAGACATGTCGTTGTACTACGCTCACTCTGTGTTCCTCTTCTCTTCAGGCTCCAGGACGCGCTCTGTACTTGCTTTGGGTTAATGTTCTTGGCCCGTGGTTCACCTCTGACTCCTCGGAAGCTGCCCCTCAGGAGCAGAATGAGAAGCGACAAAGACGGCAAGAGCGGAGACAGATGAAGCGTTTTTGAGGCCCCAGCCCTAAATTTTTACCATTTAACATGTGAAACAGACTGACTCCTGTTGTACGCTGTGGGTTCTTTTTAATGAGACTTGTTCACGATGAAGCTGCTCTTCCAGTACTCAGAATGTAAATCCAAGCCTGGATTTGTTCGGACATATGGGCTATATCTTCTTCAATGTTAAATAAAATAAAGGAGATGAAAGAGAATTTCTTACAGTGCGCCATTTCTATGTAATACGAGCTGCATTAAATCCCACTGCTCATTCTGTTACTTTGTCTCCTTAATCTTAGTGTGCTGATATTGTACTGTCTAATTATCCCTTTTGCTAACTCTCTGTGTATGGAAACAGGGCACAGTGTGTATAGTCTGTTTAATAACAACGTGTCTTTCTGTGTATGGAAACAAGGCACGGTGCTTATAAAGTCTGTTTAATAATATGTCTTTCTGTGTATGGAAACAAGGCACGGTGCTTATAAAGTCTGTTTAATAATATGTCTTTCTGTGTATGGAAACAAGGCAGGGTACGTACAGTCTGTTTAATAATAACATGTCTTTCTGTGTATGGAAACGGCACGGTGCGTATAGTCTGTTTAATAACAACGTGTCTTTCTGTGTATAGAAACAGGGTACGGTACGTATAGACTGTTTAATAACAACGTGTCTTTCTGTGTATGGAAACAAGGCATGGTGAAGTGGTTATAGTGCCAGAAGTCCCCTGGCTCTGTCCCTCCATTCAGTGTTAAACCATTCCATCTCATTGAAGTGTTTATAGTGTCTGGAGTCCCCTGGCGCTGTCCCTCCATTCAGTGTTAAACCATTCCGTCTCATTGAAGTGGTTATAGTGTCTGGAGTCCCCTGACGCTGTCTCTCCATTCAGTGTTAAACCATTCCATCCATTGACAGCCCAGGCAGTCGTCCTGCAGGCCGCTGCTGGACAGCCACTGGAGACAGACACGGCACTCAGACCACGTCAATGAGCTGAAGTGGTCTGGGTGCCTACAGTGTCCCTTTAACTGGATCAAATCGTTTTGGGAACATGCAGTATTTCTGTGCAAGCCAAGTATTTAGAGGAACACTATAGTCACCTAAATTACTTTAGCTAAATAAAGCAGTTTTAGTGTATAGATCATTCCCCTGCAATTTCACTGCTCAATTCACTGTCATTTAGGAGTTAAATCACTTTGTTTCTGTTTATGCAGCTCTAGCCACACCTCCCCTGGCTATGATTGACAGAGCCTGCATGAAAAAAAAACTGGTTTCACTTTCAAACAGATGTAATTTACCTTAAATAATTGTATCTCAATCTCTAAATTAACTTTAATCACATACAGGAGGCTCTTGCAGGGTCTAGCAAGCTATTAACATAGCAGGGGATAAGAAAATCTTAATTAAACAGAACTTGCAATAAAGAAAGCCTAAATAGGGCTCTCTTTACAGGAAGTGTTTATGGAAGGCTGTGCAAGTCACATGCAGGGAGGTGTGACTAGGGTTCATAAACAAAGGGATTTAACTCCTAAATGGCAGAGGATTGAGCAGTGAGGCTGCAGGGGCATGTTCTATACACCAAAACTGCTTCATTAAGCTAAAGTTGTTCTGGTGACTATAGTGTCCCTTTTAAAACAGGGAAAAAAAGGTGATTGCGCAAGTTGAATATAGCTCCACAGGTTTTGTAGAATGTCCCTAAGTTCTGTAAATATAGAACACCAACATAGGGTAATATGTTTAAACATAAAAGTGAGAAGCTTGGAAAAACTCACAATTTATAGAGCATTTATAAGTTTGCTCTAAACTATGCAGGCAGAATGCATCAATCAGATGTGCATATATCTGTGTTCGGTCCCCCCAGGAGGTATTTGCGGTCCTCGATCACGAACCAGGTAGCCAGATGTAGATATAATGAATATAATTTATTAATACACAATAGAAAACAATAAAAAGCACAACGCGTTTCGACTCAATATAGAGGATCTTCCTCAGGTGCAGTATGTGGGTTACAACTAAAATAGCTCTTATTTTTATATGACAAACAATTAAAAAATGATTACAGGTGTGAGTGTAAAACAATCCCTCCCCTTTTCCCATATAAGGAATACTTCCGGTCTTAGCCGTGTATTCCCGCCTCCCCCAAGCTGTCCACCATCGCTCCGCATTCTGTATACGTCCGTCTTGACCTTCTCAACATGGCTGCAATATGCGTCAAACTCCGGTTCATCACTTCCGGTTTTCGTCCTAGTCGGCAGTCGTCACTTCCGATTACGTTAGGGTAATGTTATAATATGGTTTGTGAGAATATTATATGAGGTAATGTTATAATATGGGGTGTGAGGATATTATATGAGGTAATGTTATGTTATAATATGGAGTGTGAGGATATTATATGAGGTAATGTTATAATATGGGGTGTGAGGATATTATATGAGGTAATGTTATAATATGGGGTGTGAGGATATTATATGGGGTAATGTTATGTTATAATATGGGGTGTGATGATATTATATGAGGTAATGTTATAATATGGGGTGTGAGGATATTATATGAGGTAATGTTATGTTATAATATGGGGTGTGAGGATATTATATGGGGTAATGTTATGTTATAA